TTTTCATTATTGATGAATCGGCGCATGTTTGTGCCTGTAATCCACAAAAGAAACATTATCCGGATAAGGTTGCGTTTAGAATTTTATTCGAATTTTATATGTAAAAAGAAAAAGAAATAAGCGATCTTTTGTGCTCTAATTTTGTATATTGCGTGGATATTGCTTTGTGAAAGCTTATATAGTCTTGAAATGCTTGTACAAAGATAAATATATATATAAGGATAATAGATCAAAGAATTGATTACAATCTAATTTTGTACAATCCAATCATACTCGAGCTGTTTTTTTTTTATGAAGAATAAATGACGAAATTGATCAATAATACATAAACAAAAATAATATCCAATTATTTGTATATCTGCACTTTACACATGTATATATTGCTCGACATAGTCATATATATTTCAAATATCTACATATACATATATAATATATATATTATTAATTTCGTCATTTATTCTTCATAAAAAAACAGCTCGAGTATGATTGGATGTACAAAATGGATTGTAATCAATTCTTTTGATCTATTATCCTTATATATATATAAATATTGAGCCTATGTTGTCCATATACTTATTATATATACATTTAAGCCACAATTTACAAAAAATATATATTACCCAGATAGCCAGTAATATTATGACATCATTTTGATGTCAAAATGCATCATTTGAGTGTCATAATAATTACTATGGTATCTGAATAAATATATTATAATAGATATGATAGAATAGATATATAGATATATATATTTATATATAATTTATACTTTTATTTTTAAAAATGATTTTTAAAATAATGTTAAAATAAAAAATAACTTCTAATATCAAATAATAATTAATAAAATAAGTTATATAAATATAAGCATTTATCTATTGCATATATTATATTGCAAATTTAAATGCAAACATTTATATCATAATTAAAATATTTCAAGTATTCGAATCGTTTCTATAATATATTGTCATCTTATACACATTTGTACACATATATATGTTTCATAATTTTCCAAAATCATTACCTTTTTAACTCACATCGGTGAAATCCGCAACAGCAAAAGTTACACAACGTGATCTGTAAAATATGCAAATATATATTTATATTAATCTAAAATTAAAGCAATATTTAATATATTTCGAGAAATAATTTATACTACACGCTTTTAAAATGTTATTTATTTATTGGTTGCAAATAATAAGAAATACATAAAAAAGTAATAAAAATTATTCACCTTGCAGTTACGTGATGCCGGCTTGGATTTCCTCCTCCTCCTCTCCCCCCCCTCATCATGACCTTCTCTGTTATTTCCTGTTGTTGCTTCTTCATAGTATTCACTAACGAAACCAATTCATTATAATGAAGCGCTCACGTAAAAACAGTTAATAATGATTACGCGCAGATAATCACATTAACCCGAATACAATTAATAAGCGTACAACACCCCCGATCTTAAATGCGACATGTACAATGTACTCCAATGTACTTGAATATGGCGGAAGAAGGGGAAGGTGAAATTACGCGGGAAATGAGCGCAAAACTTGATACTCGCGTCCTCTTGCGACATCTTTAGGTACTAAATGCGCGCGAACAGCAGAAATTTTAAATAAATTATCGATGATTTCATAAATGTTCCGTATTTGTACGCAATGACGTAATGATCGAAAATGATTAAAATAATATGACTTTATATTAAAACTGATAATAATTATTATAAATTTACATATATATATATATACAATATAAAATATATTGTCTATTATATACATATCATGTGATAATTCATATAAATATGCATGATTTATACAAATTATTAAAACGCGATTATTATAAATATATATTATGTAACAAATAATTTTATATAATTTCTATATAAATTATATAATTTTTTCCTTGAGATGAATATATATTGATTATGTGATTATTGAATATATTGAAAACATAATTATTATTGCAAAATTAAGTGTCGAGAAAAAGCAGGTGTAGGTGAGAGTAAACAAATGTTATTATACATTCGCATGGCACACTATTAATTATTGATAGCAAATGATTGAATTATATGTGGAATTTTAATATTTCTTTTATTTCAGCGATAAATGAGATAATAATTGACAGAAAGATTATTTGGCAGTCTTACAATTATTATAGTCCAGGTGGTGAATGGCACATCACGGGGATACGAGTCAATACGAATAAAATGTGCTTCATATGATCAATATAAATTATTTTGATATTAATTCATGCATGTCAAAAAAATTCTAGGTTTTTTAAAAAATGAGTCCAAGTAAGTTTATATTTATTAATTATATTTCATAATTATACATATTCTTTCCCATTATTTCCTTGATAGAAACAGATCAGATTAATAATTAAAAAACAGTGATATATATATTTTTCAGTTGTACTGACAAATAATTCCTTCAATTAAACTTACTACAGTGAACAGTCTTGATTACATACTCATCACAAAAAAACAATGTTAACTTAGGTATTAAAGCAGCCACAATGCAAGGATTGCCTTATGGACACATCTTGAACTTCAATGTATACTAGGTATGTCATTTATTATTACATATTTACTCTATATTTATATATACATATATATATATAAATAATATGTTAATCATCCATTTATATATCTATATATACTTATCTGTATATATATTTATATAATATTAATCATTAAAGAAATATTCTTCTTATAGACTATTAATTTATTTTGTATTACAAAATTAATTTGTCTGTATTAGATTATCATCGGAGGATGGGGAAACACTATGTCAGCAATAAAAAGAAATAATACCAAACCAGATGTAGCAGAAGCAGATACACTAGAGATATATTAATTGAATCCTGATGAGATGTGTGATATTTTTATAGTAATACAGTAAGAAAATTATATAATATATATATATTTTTTATCTTAAATAAAGCTAAAATTATGTCTAAAAATTATATTTTTATCTTGTTTTAATCTCGAGTTTAATTTGCTTTATATATTATATATATATATATATATATATATATATATATTTAATAATTATCATGTCTTAATAATTTGTTAAAATCATATTTTAATAATCCATTGCAAGACCATGCATAAAACACAAATTAAATCAGAAATTAAAACGAGATAAAATATTTTTAGATGTAATCTTTAATTTTACGATATACTTTTAATTATATAAATTAATTAATTGTGTAAAATGATATTCGCACTTACTAGAAAATGATTCCATAATATTTCTCGCAAATACGTTTTAAAAATTAATGTGTAACATATATATATAGAGCATATTGCGTTGTGTATTTATTTAAGAGTATTGTTATGCAAATGATAATACTGTTATAATAATATTATAATATAAATTAATTTAATTTAAATAATTTATATATTCAATTAATTTATTTTTATATAATATTATTTAATGATAATTTAGATACAATTTATTCGTCATTTTTTGGATTATTAATAAAAACACATGATCTAGATCGACATAAATTAAAAGAAAGAAATTAATAAAGAGCAAAAATTAGAAAAGTTAAAATTGATTAATAATACAGCGAAATCGCACTCAGAATTAGCAGTATCAGGTCATGAAATCACGATAATAACAAACTCTATTCCGCGGTTTTGCATGTTTATGTCCAAACACACATCATAACAACACTTTTCTTCTTTTTCACAGTCAGAATCGCTGTCACAAACTTTAGGTGGCTTGTACCAATCGTACATCATTCTGGGACAGTAGGTTCTCAAAGGTGGACAATGTTTTTTGGCTTCATCTCGACTTCGTGCCAAGGATGTGCGTCGTGTGACCCAACAATACCAAACCAAAACCATGGAAATAAAAAAGAATGCCATCCATGTTTCGATGAAGAATGCCATCCATGTTCCGATGAAGAATGCCACTCATGTTCACTTTTTCCGCTTGGACAACAATAGTATCGATGATGGCCCATTTTGCACCAGTACTTGCAAGACTTTACATGAGCTTTTGTTAGGATGATGAACAACAGCAGAAGATATAGCGAATTTCTACGCATGCTGCAATAATTGTTAAAAGAGATGAGTGATATAATGCTGAAAAATATTAATTATTTTGTTCTTGTCGTTATTTCTTTCTTTTTTTAAGTAATATATTAATAACGATTTAACATGCATATAATATATATGCAATAATATTTTTCTTTTAATCTATTATATGCACACATAAGAAAATTTGTACAATCCGTAATTGCATAGATAATTGCGTAAGAATACTTACATATAATATATATATATATATATATTATTTATTATTTTGAACGTGTTTACAATAGAGAGTTTTATGTGTCTGATATATATTATTATTATAAAAATACAATAATAGTCATTGTTCGAAAAGTAGTGCAGTATTACAAATTAAAAGCATTCTCTTGTTTAAAATACGAAAGATTTTTTATGTATGTTATTATTGCAAGAAACTCACTTTAAGATTTCTTTTAAACTTTATGCTTACTCGCGGCTCGACAGTCTGCGATCTAATTGACAACAGCTTCTTGTTTAGCGTATCTTATATACAAAAGGAACACACCCCTACTTAAAGACAAAGTTATAAATCGCGCAACATCTTCAATACGTCTGTCATCGTCGATGAGCAAGACATGCTTCACTCATTCGTACTCGATTTCACATGTCAACTTTGTAAAGTCTCATCTGCGTCGGTTCATTTGGAAAAATGTCAAGAAACGTCAAAAACAAAGAATGCATTATATTCGCGTTAGAAAATTGCATAGGACGTCAGGGGTCGAATTTGTAAAGCAATTAGATGCACAAAACGATTAAGTATGTTAAATTTTAATATCACGAGAGAACAACTAATTATATAATTCTCTATAATGTAAAATCTATAATCTAAAATCTTATTTCATCTTCTTTACCTGCTTTTATGTCCATAAATAAATACTAATAAAAATTAAAATAAATAAGTAGAATAAAATAAAAAAATAATTATAAGTATACATATATAATAATTTCTTAAAGCTGAATTTATTTTATCAACATGATATTCAATCTTATACATTATACATTTTTTATATATTTATTAACAATGATTGATTCTTTTTATTCGTGAATTACTTTTTGTTATATACTCATTAATATATATACACACATATGCGACCCTGACAATGAATTTAAGTTATGAATGTTTGCGAGGAATATATGCAAAGCAATTGCCCTATGGACATTTTTCTTCGTGAAATTTATTGAAAAAGCTGTCTGTGAGAGATATTTCACTTTTGTCATATGCTAAAGAATTATACGTATATTTCAACTATATTTAATTTTTCAGAAACGTACGTAGCTCTTATTCTTTTAATCATTCGTCACTAAATATGCGTACAATGTACAAATATTATCATGTAATTTGAAATAAATTTTAATGATTTTATTCATTTATTCGAACACGATTTCGACATATATGATATAGATTTTCAATAAACCTTTGTCCAGAATCCCAGTTCTCCCCCTCGTCTCGACAAAAATAAAAAAAAACGAATCTAATATAGATTAATTTAATTTTTACTTTTAAATTTTGTCTTTTTGCGTATTTTTTACATTATAAATTAATAAAATTACATTGATTATACTGATTAATGTCATTAAATAATAACCAATTTTTAACATAAAGTTGCAAAAAAATAAAAAATAAAAAATGTCTGCGCTTATATACATATTTATAAAGAGAGAGAGAGAAAGAGAGCATATACACATTATTGTCTTTGTAAACGTTGAGTGTTTCTTCACTTTTGTATATTAAAAGATCATAATCGCATGCCTATGGCGCGCGATTATAACCCTTATTCCTATGTAAATTCAGCGAATAATTAAATCAACATTAATCCTTGATAGGAATTCGATAGACATTCGGCAGTATAATAATAATAATTATCATGTATTCTATTTATTAATATCACCCACAATATTATTCGAACATTGATTTATTTCCATTCCGAGTAAAAAAGATAATTTTAGGATACGGTAAAATGCCTCGACATAAAATTGAAATAGATTAGAAGCGCGGGTGAACTCTCGACCAATCAGCGACGCGTATTTCGAAGCTCCGAGTCAGTTAATAACCGGTCGCTAAATCGTGCAATTCGTGAGTGAATAGTGCTTTAAATAATTACCGAAAATCGATGTCGCACGCCGAAATTGCGTTCAAATAAGTGATAGATCGCTAGAATTTGTTTCGCGAAATACGTAGTAGTGTTTGTGATGTGTTTGTGTGTGATTATAGTGATAACGAAGTGGGCAAAGAGAGAGCGTGAGAGGGACATCTTTAAAGGAGTAAGATGGATATATCAAGTGCAAGGATTAAAGAGAAACTACCGGAATATTCAGCAAATGTAAGTGATTTTGACAATGTAAAATTTTATAATATACATTCTAATCATCGATACATGTTGGCTTGAAGTGAGGTTTTCATTTATCACAATTAATAACAATATTTATATAATATATTATAATATATATATATATATATATATATATATATATATATATATTTAATGAATTTTGGTATAAGGAACATTTGTTGAGAGAAAGGGGAAGAAATACTATGAATAAAATATTTGTAACACATGTATTTATCACATGCAAAATTTTATTAATGACTTATTTGCATAATCATCATGTAATTAGTCCAATCAATTTATATATGTAATGTTTTTAAATTGATCAATGATAACATATTATGTCGCATCAGATAAGCTACTTAATTACTGTTCTATATTTGTAAGAATCAAAATATTTCAATCAATTAGGTAAAAATATTTTTCACAGAACCTATATTTCTTTCAATAATTTTTTTTATAAATTGCATATTTAAAATGCTTTCTCTTTTTTTTAATAGTTATTTATTAAAGTTGTACAATTTTATTTTATTAGATACTGATATCAAGAATTTAATTAAATATGTTAAATCTTTAAGAATAATGATTTACGATTAAATAAATATATTAAACGTAACAGTGCTACTGCATATTTAGCAAAAATAATTATATCATTGTTTTCAAATAATTAAACAGACATTACACTATATGATAAATTCATGAATTTAATTTTAAAATATAATATCAGAGAAAATTAATATAATTTCTATTATAACATATAGAATGGGAAGATTTATACGCTTTAACAACTTAATAATTTATGTAACAATGATATATATTAACAAAATATTATATTACTGCATTATGTATTATAGTATACAGTTATGGAATATACAGAGTTATCTAGTATATCTATATATTCAAAAAGATATTTTCATCCGAAAAAATTATATTTCTATCACATGTTCACAGAAGTAAAATGTTTTTAAATATTTTTCCTATTTTTCTAATATTTTTAAAAATATATAACAGTCCTATATTATGCAAAATATTCTGATATATATAATTATAATAGATATAGAAAACTCACTTGCTATACCTGCTTGCCTTTAATGAAGGATTCTTTCTTAAGAATTGCTAAGCTTATTATATATATATATAAAAGAAAGTTTCAAGTTTCAAACTATATTCACACATTTTTGTCTTTTATAATTTTTCAACAATAAAAAATTAAGACGTTTTGAACTGATTACATGATTACATGATTAGAAATTTCATAAAATTGTGCTATTCTATCAGTACATAATTAGATGACAATCATTGCGATACATATTTTATAAAAATTACATTTTCATATCATTACATGTTTTATATTACAAGTCATATATCTTTATACACAAACAATAAAAGCAGAAAAATAGAGAATGCTCTTATTGAAATAATACCTACAATAAATTATATTATTCTGTAGGAGAAGGGCTTGTGCAGCCTTGCTTATAATAACAACATTACATTCTATGTGCGTGTTCAACAACTGAGCACATATCTAGCAAAAAAGTGCTTAATACAAATAGAAGCATTTGCTACTAAATACTATATAGTACATTATAGAGAATATTCTTGTCATTAATACTAATCTAAATAAATGCAAATGCTTCTTTGGTTCAAGTTATTCCATTGTCCACTCGTTTATTATCATATCACAATATTATAGATAAAATATTACGATTCTGTGTTTTACGTTTTAAATTGGCCATCATTTGAGGATTAATTGTAAAACCCTGAGTAGTCATTAAATAAAAAAAATACATATAATTAACTTTACATACTGTTAAAGAATCTATAAATTAGTATGATTTAATAGTATTTTGTAGAATATTTTAAATATCTTCATTTTTGTACTCATGCGAAAAGTAAATTTCGCGATTACGTCAAAATAATATTATAATACATAGTTATGTACTTATTATAATATATATAGTATATAACAATATAACAATAGGATGTTATAACTTATAACAAACTTTTATCAGTAATCTTTTTTTATGTTCAGCAAAGTAATAAGTTTTATAGTTGACACAGAACATTTATTAACTGTTTACAACTGATAATAAATTTTAATTCACAAAGATTTGAGAATAATTCGGTTTAAGTACATTATGGCGTTTATGTACAAAAATGGAATAATCCACACCATTATGATAATTTCTACACATAAAATAGTAATATATGTGTCTTTGAATTGTGATAATTTTAATAGTATTGTAAAATACAATTAACCTGTAGCTATATAATTATAATATAGTATTGTACAATTACATAAAAATATATTGGATTAAAAATAAAATTAATTTTTTGTTACTAATTTCAGTAAAATGAACTAATTTCACTAAA